ATCAGCCTGTGCTTTTCAGAATAGAGGTGGCCTTTTTTGTAGGTAAAAACTGTAGACAACCCCACCCCAATTTTACAGACAAAAAAACATTACTGAAAACTTTCCAGTAGATGGCAGGGTTACCTTGTGACAAAGCTGAAAGTCTTAAATTGAAAGGGCTCCTGGATAAAGGTTCAAGTACTGGTTAAGTATATTTAAGTAGCAGAATGAACTACTATCTGAAGAGGCATAAACACACACTGGATTAACTGATCTAATGTGAGATGGGAAATGTAGAAGTTATATTTTAAGGTAGTGAAAGATCTTGAACCTCAACACAGTATTAAAAATTATCTTTGTTAAAAATGAACTTCATTTAGACAACTGTTTATACCACAAAACTGACAAGACAGAAAACACAGTATTTAACGTGAGAATCCACGGGAGTTGCCAGCCACAGAATAAAAACATGGGAAAAGCAAAAAGCCCTTGCAAATATTACTGAAAGTGTTCAGCAAAAGTGGCTTTCAGGACCAAGAGCAGTTCAGCTGGACAGTGTAGTGTTTGCCTATTTCTAGGAACTGAGCAAAAGAGCACCCCCAAAAAGGGAATTCTGTGCCGCTTTTGTCGATATAAGAAATCATGACCTCAGCAGGTGCAGAACACCTTTACAGGTTGGGACCCTACTCAGAAGCAGCCAGGGGGAAAGCCTGATGCACCCTAAGGATCTCAGAAATAGTTTTTTTACATGCTGGGAACCGAACCGCTCAGCCCAGTCGGCCTTACTAATAACGGCCTCCACATGGACGACACTTTGGCTTCTTAAAACTACAATTTTCTGAATCTGCTTTTCCAGCCAAAACAGTAAGAAGCATCCCAATGTATTTCAAATGTTTATAATGACTCTAGTACGTAAATTCCCTTGTAAGTGTCCCATGGTTTTATGGGCTTCCCCTTGAAGGATAGTTAGATTTCCATTAAGTGGATATAAATGTGGTCATTCTGACTGTGTCAACACTTTCTGAAATCATTTGTGGACAACCTCTAATGTCAAACTTCTGTACGTTGCAGGTAAACTGAAATGGCTGCAGGAAAAAATACCAGTCCATGTTTTATACGATTTTCTTTAGCAGAAAAGATTCAGACATCAGATACCCAATACTTTTGCTTCTCGTTTGGTCTGTGCCATGTTTATCTTGCCTCACTAAAATTACTCACATATTTAATTTCACTATTATACTGTGGAATTAGAAGATCATTGGAAATACTATATTTTATTTGTAAAAAGAAGTTACTTGCTTCCTTTTGTGAAGATCTAATAAGAAAATTCATGAGCTGACAACACACAGGGCTTCTGAAAAGTAGAGGCCCAGCCTGGCACGCCTCCTGTGTCAGGACAAACTCTACATTTATTGCACCAGTGCTGCTCAGCAGCGCTACCCGACTGCAGACCACGCAGAAAAACAGAATTCTCATTCCTAGTGATAAACAGTATCTTCAGAGTCACATTTCCTATTATTTCCTGCAATAATATACCCAACTTCCTCTGATAAGTGTAGTGTCACTAAAGAACATAGCTTCAGACTACGTACTGAAAACGGTTTTGGGTTTTGTTTTTATTTTATAAAAATCTTAATAGTTTGTTGTCATATTTTTTGGCTTATAGATATTAATGCACGATTACATTGTATTCTTTAAAAGTTTCCCCCATCCTTTAGCCACCTTACTGACGATTCACACCTATTGATTTGCTTTGTTTCTGAAGGCATTTGCTTTATAAAAACACAAAACCAAAAAGGAATAAAAACTGCATTGGTTGATGCTTTAAAATCCTATCACCTTTTTGCAGTTGGATAATACACACAAAGCTTGACACACTCCTAAAATTCTGACTTGGTGAGAGTGTAACAGAAATGGTAACATTAATGTGATCATCTTGATTTTTTCCGACAAGAATAACATAATTTCAACTGCTCTAAGATCACATGTCTTTTCTCCCCCTTTCAGCCTCATGAATAATTTGGCTCATCTTTCTCACTGACATAAACACTGAATCTTGCTGTAGGTCACGCAGCATTCCCCGTATCTTCTCATTCGTGTGCAATTCAGCCCTGCATTCTGTGCCTCATATTATTTTACATTCATGACATGCAGTTGTAGATTGTTTCCATGGTGGTACAATGCCTGATAGTCAGTTCATGCAGTGAACAGTAAACACCGATGTTTCAAGAGCTAATTAGTGGTGTAGATTTGTTTTTTATTGCCCTATCTCAGTCTATTCAGCTGGAGAGCTATGGGCCAGGCGAGGTCAGCAAAGGGATTAGAGAAAAGATCATTGTTTCATACAATAGAAAGTTGAAATAAATAAGATTATTTGGTGTAGAAAGGAAACGAATTAAAGAGTCTGAGGCATCTGACATTATTGAGGTAACTGTAAACCAATTATTTTGACCTTTAGGCCTTTGGTTCACCCAGGGTCCCCACTAACCCATTTGTCATCCAGTATTTCTGTCTGAAGACAAAAGCCCTCTTAGGCTTTGACAGAGATCTGAGATCCTTCTATTCCTGGCTCAGTGAATCTTCATTTCCAGCCTTGAGTTTCATCTCATCACTGTCCTCTGAACCAATACCCTGTCTCCAGTTTTCAGTAGCTAGAAGGAAATGTGTAGGAAATCATGGGGCAGGGAAGTGGTGGGGAGGTGAAGAAAAAAATAAAGGAACCCAAACTCTTTTATCTTTAAGAAGTGCTCTCAGTTGGCCTCAAGTTACACATGGAAAGTTTTTTCTGCAGGTTGCTGAGGGGAGGGAGGGGGACAGAGAGGCTTTCGCCAGCCCTTCTTTTATTTCTTCATGTCCTAAAGAGCTTGGCAGCTTTTAAACAACGTTGCCAAACCCTCTGAACCCAGCTTTCTGTGACTTCATTGTGGAATTTTCCCTTCAGATCCTGCGAGGTGTGGATTTCACCCTCTCCTCAGCCACCAATAATTTATGCAGACATATCTGCCTTTGGCTTAGCACATCCACGTGGCTAGGCTTTCTGTGGCACACATCACCGAAAGCCCGAGCAACACCACTTCCAACGCACCTGCAAGCACATGTAGAAACTGTCCACGTACACGCTGTAGGAGAGGGAGAGACCTTTACGTCAAGAGAATATACTGCAAAGCCAAGAGAACCTCAAAGAGGAAATGAAACCACAAGAGATAGGATGTTAATTTCAAGAAGAATCACATTTGGATTTGTGAAAGATAATATTATAGCAACCACATCATCTGTGGTTTTGTTTCATTTACGGACTGTGTCTACAACACAGTTCAGGAAGGAATTTCCCTCAGAAGTGAGTGATGGAAGTGGAACACTGCAGAGAAAGTCTGCTTCAACAAGACAAGAATTTTTCCTCCTCTGGGAGGAGCAAAGAGAGGGATCACAGTAAAGGTATAAAAACAAGTTACTTTTTGAACCTCATGCCTTGAAAGATAAGGCAAAGGGAGGAATAAAATGTAATTAGTCATTCCCATTCATACACTTGTAGAGGACAAAAAGGAACCACCAACAAAAGTGGAAAGTAACAAATCCAGAAGTGCAGAAGAGAAATAGTTATCACTACATGATATGATGAGGTACGAACAAAAACGACTGTAAGATCATAATCTTCATGCCTAATCGTTTTTAATTTATTTTGCGTTATTTCAAAAGGTAGGGAGGAGAAACAAGAACAAAACACAAGACATTATATAAGCCACGATGCTCTGGGACACCATTCAGACTAAGGTATTTCTGAAAGCACTGATCAAAGCAAACTCTCTCCCTGATCAGGTACCAAAAGAAGTGCGTCCTTTTTCACCTGCTGCAAGAATGTATGATACTGGTTTAAATAAATTAATAAGTAAAGTATTTTGAACCAGACCCCCGTTGTCTGGCTCAAGGCAGGAATGCCCATCCCCTCCCACGACACCTCCTCCCACACCAGTCTGGCACGTTTGGTGCAGGCCAGGAGTGGCCAGGACCATGCCAATTCTGCATCTCCCTCCCACCCGGGACCAGTTGCAGGCCAGTTCCATGCCTTTCAGCTGTCTACATCTTTCCCAAAAACTGGAATGCTACTCAACCAAGAAAGCAGTGCTGGTCTAGCTTGGGACTGCAGTCTTTCAGATGGGAATAACGCGATTACAGTGACTACTGTAACAATCTCAGGTGACAGACACAAGTAAAAGTAAAATGCAGCTCATATTTCAGAAAACAATTGCATTGAGTTAATATAGCACGCTGAAGATACATATCATAATAAAGAAAATCAGCATTTTCTTATTAGTATTCATGCAAGATCTAATTGTACTTAGGTCTAGACATTTTTAAAAAGAAAAATGAGTAACACCACTGTACTGAAAAAGGGCATTTCTTGTAATGAAAATTTTCCTTTATACTTTATGTGAAATATGTCATTCCAATTTCTAAATGGAATATCCCCTCATGTATCTATGTTGACTGGCACATTAATACTGATATTTTGCTCAATACTATTTCAAAACTTCCCTTTTTAATCTTGTTTCTCTGCTGTTACCTTGCATTGTGGGGCACACAAGCTTGTCTCAGCCATCCCTGCATCCCGCTCCACCTAGTGGATGGAGGGACTGTAATTACACAAAAAGCACAAATTAATCTTATCTTAGATTTCTAACAGCATGATTACAAGGCTTCCCTGATTACGCTGTTCAGATACAACTATCAGCAACACCAAAGTTCTGTTCGCTCTAAGGTGGAAGGCTGCCTCTTATTAAATGATGCTATGCTTTTATGTGCTCACTGCAGTACTAAGTATAAAATGCCAGTGCTTATCTATGGCAGGCATTACCAAAGAAAATAACAACATTCTCAATTTTATTCTTCACATGTTTTTGTTCGTATATAATAATTCAATCTCAAGTAAATTAGGGAGATTTTAGTAGCTAATCTAGAACTAGACTACACATCTGGAAGATCTGCGTTACAGTCCCCGCTCCACTCACTGTGCCAGTCCTCTGCGTGCAGCTGGTGCAAGCACTATTGGAAAAGTGGGATGGAAAAACGCCTCCAGAAGTCCACATGCTCATTTGACAGACTGGGATTTCAGACCTTGCTCCAGGCTGGTTTTTCCTATGCACCAAAGACATCAAGTTTAGCCACCAGGGTGCAGAGTCAGTTCAGAAAGCTTGCCAAATTTGCCAAACAGCGGGGTTTGAGGCACAAATTATCTATCAGCTGGGTATACCTAAGGCTGGAAGCAAGGGCCAGGATCAACCATTTCAAGCCCTGGGCAAGGCAGCCTGACGTGCTGGAAGGTAGTTCCTTGCTGGTCTTCGGGAGTTTATGGTCAGAGTGTGGCTGTGTGCCACAGGTCCTGGAAAAGGCAGTTCGAATTCACAGCTCAGCTGTCTTCCTCAGGGCTACTACACGTTGGTTGCAAGAGTGGAAGATGGGGAAGGGAGAAAGGGGCATCAGGGAAGCACTGAACCAAAGGAAGCTGTGCAGGATAGCCACTGCTTTTAACTGCCGTGGTGCTATAAATCTTTGCTTCCTACCTGCTGCAGAGCACGAAGAGCGACAGGAGACTTGCCATGGTAGTCTATGTGGCTACATCTCCCTGCTGAGTTATCCCCAGAACAGCTACAGGGAATGGGAGGACAAGCACGGGCCACACCAGGCGTAGGAGACCGTGAGCTTCCAGGAAAGAGCATAAAGCAAATAACAGGGTGGCTTTACCATCAGTAGTGGGATCATATCAAGATGTCGAAGTGCTGGAAGGAGACAGAAGTCCCAGCAAAACTGCCTCTTCAGCAGGCATGCGGGCATTCAAATTCTTACGGCTGTCTCCAGCAACACAGGCTTATGTTCGCTGAAACTCAGCGAGACTGAAAGGGTAGCCACTTTCAGAGGGACTAAGGACAAAATGTGTGACTTTTCCAAATACAAAAATTCAACCTCATCTTACACAGATCTGGCATGCACGCAAGACAGCAACAGCGCTACATGACTTATAGGAGTCTGTGAGATTGAGGACTCGGTTATCTAACTGTTCCATCATTAACCAATAAATAAAAGGCACTCGATTGTCTTCAAAACCAGTACTTAAGCATGGGAAGAAGGAAAAACAAACGTATAGAAAGTGGGGCCAAGCTAGCACAAGTCACAGGTCAGTGGCAAACAAGGTCCTATGACCAAAACAGCTCCTCCCATCAAGAAAATGATTGTTGGGTGAAGGGATGAGTAAGAAGCACACTCCTTGACCTACTCCCTCAGTTGGCATCTGGCTGCGGGCAAGCCTAACAACATTAGATGTCTCTTTCCCACTGTCTTCCAATTTTTCCATACTGGATACCCTGAACTCAAGAAGCTCTGTTTGTCAGCAGCCACGGTCTCCCCCATGCCCATGCCACTCCTGAGCACTGGCTGCATCTGTGTTCAACCCCTTGCAGCCATCCCTGCTCTTCTCGCAATCAAGGTGTGGTGGGGCCAAGTGCCCAGGCCCTTGGCGTAACTAGTCCAGCTCCCTGGAGTGGGTCTTCCTCTTGGTTTCTGAATCCTCTGTTGCTGTTCCTCTTCAGTTTTCCCTACACGGGCTGGAAATCTGCTTTGATGTGCACCACAGTGCGCCTCACCTATGCCTCCCCCTGCAGTGAGACGCAGTCCTGGCCCATTTTTTTTCTGGCAGTTTCAGCAAATGCTCTCATCTGATTACTCCTCCCAGGAGCACAGGAGCTTCGGTTACTACTGCCCTGGAAGCAATCAGAAGAGGCTATCAAGAGAAGGGTCCAAGCCAGGCAATCGGAGGATTACAAATACCTGGAGGCACAGACCCCCCATGGTTTAACCCACTAGCCTTAATGCTCGGCTGAAGGTGGCCCTTCACCCTCCCGATGCCACAAGGTCACGGAGAAAGAATGGGTGAGTGGCGCAGGACAGCACCGGCACACACCGGGTCCCTGCCTGCGGCTGCCCACATCCATCCCCAATGCATTTTTAGCGGCCGCACAGCGTTGCACAGGTAGCACCGACCACATTCGAGCAGTTTTGCTCAAGCTTAAAGACGGTTTTACCCTCTTGCGACAGGGCGCTTGGACACCTACAGCCAGTGTCAGCTTTCCACGGGCTGGGACCTCCTCAGACTGGGTGTAAACTGGCGTTGGGCGCTGTGATCGCGTTAGGAACACAGCCCTGCGGGGAAGCCACGCGTGCCGTTTCCCTGAAGCGCTGCGCTTTGATTTGCGAGACTACCCAAACAGGTTGGGGTTTTCCCCCCCCCCCCCCCCCCCCCCGCTTCTCCTGCAGCCCTTTGTCCCGCAGGCACCTCTGAGAAGGGATGCGGTGCCAGCCCTGCGCATCCCGCCGGCCGGCCCGGGCCGCGCTCCCGCCGGGCCACGGGCTCCGCACCGGGCAGCGGGGACGCGGGGGGGGGGGGGGGGGGGGCGGAGTGACACCCCCACTCCCACTCCCACTCCCACCCCCGTAACTCCCGCCCCGGCGGCCTCGCAGCCGCCCGCTCCTTTCACGCCCCGCCGCCTCGCCTCCAGCCCCCGCCCGCCCGCCCGGCAGCAGCGGCGGCGGCGGCGGCCGCGTCCCGGCCCCGGGCGCTGCTGCCGCCCCCCGCGCCCCCCGCGGGCCCCGGGGCCGCCCCCCGGCCCGGCCCCGAGCATGCTCAGTGCCGCCCTGACCTACTTTTCCCTTGCCGGAGCCGGCAGCGGCGGAGCGGCGGGGATCGCTCGCTGCGGCGCGGCGCGGCACGGCACGGCGCGGCGCGGCACGGCGCGGCACGGCGCGGCACGGCGCGGCACGGCACTGCGGCAGCGCCGCGCTCCGCCCGCCCCGGCCCCGGCACGGTGCTGCGCGGGGCGCGCTGAGGGGCGCGGCGGCGGGCGCTGCCGCGGGGCGGCGGGCAGGTGAGCGGCCGCGGCGGGGGGGGGGGGGGGGGTCGGGCCGCGGTTCCCCCTGCGGGCGGGCGGGTCCCGCCGCCGCCGCCGCCGCCTCGGCCGGCCCCGCCGCGCCGGTCGCCGCGGAGCCTCCCGCCGCGGTGAGCCCCGAAGCGGGAGCGCTTGCCCCGCCCGCGGAGGCGCCGGGAGGGCCGGGGGCGGCGCGGCGAGCCGGGCGGTGCGCTCCTGCCGCCGGCGGCTGTCGCCGGGCGGTTCGCGGGGAGCCCGCCGCGGCGAGCGGGAGCGGAGTCACGCCGCGTTCAGCGTGCGAGTTGGAGAGGTTAGTTCAGCTCGGCAGCGGGGCTTGCAGGGAGATGTGCTTCTTCAGGGAAAGGAAAAAAAAAAAAAAAAAAAAAAAAAAAAAAAAGCTCCCGAAGCCCGCAGGTTTGGCTGGAGAGCTGCGGCTCCTGCGCGGTCCCGCACCGGGCCGGGGAACGGGCGGCACCAGAGACCTCTTCTGTGGAACCGGCTTCTGAGGAGAGCTTAAGTGCCTTTAAATATAAAATAATGGCTGATATTTTGCTGCAGTTACTTTTACTTCACCGGGTAGTCTCCTGAAACTCAATTTCAGAAGTGCCCCGACAAACAGCGGGCTAAAACTTCGGAGCGGTCTCGCAATAACTTACCAAATACTGTTTCTTAACGGGGCAAATTCGAACAGCGTAGGACGAGGGAGCTTGAGAGCACAGAGAGCACTACTCAGCAGGCACTTTTCTGGAGAGGCTTGTAAGAAGCTACGCTCCTAACAGTCCCTTTTCAGTTGTTAAATTGAAGCATCTTCCCTGATAGCCCTGCTCCGGAAATAAACGTACCAGCTGTGTAAGCGAGGCTAAATACTAAATGCGACCTCATTTGCTACCTATTTGCCTCAAAGACTGTACAATTAGTTCCAAGGGAGAAACACAAAGGAGTTAAAAGGGAACAAAATGTAGCACTTTAGTTGTTTAGACCCATTACATTGTGGAAGAGTTTCTCTCTGCACGGCAGTAGGACAAAATACTGGCGGATCTCTTTTCAGTGGAGGTGATGTTTGCATGGCAGGAATCTTTTGTCTGGGTAGTGTGTACAGTTAGCAGCAGCACCGCTGATATGCTTGTGGTTGGTGTAGTAGGAATCCTTTTTCATCAGAAAGCCTTCTCATTTAGACTGCAGTATATCAACATCAGTTGATGTTGAGTGTGACTTACACAGCTGGAGTTCACCCTTTTTTTTTTTTCCTGAAGAATTTGAAGTTTTCAGAGGCCTAGACAAACAGCAGAATGTCCACCAAAAAAAAAAAAAAAAAAAAAAAAAAAGGCTTTCTTCCTACTTTAATACTAATATTCCTATTTAATGAGTTTAATACAGTGGTATTTGTCCAAGGCATGTTTCCCATCCTGGAAGCTGAGAGATAAAATCAGTCGCTCTTAAAACATTTAACACATGGTGGGGCAAAGGCAGTGAATTTTGAAGTGATCTTTATTGTACAACTCCAGTTGCCTCCCTGCAATTAGACAGGTCCTGCTATAGTATGGAGGAGGATGGAGTCAGCACAGGAACCTGGTTTAGGTGTATCCATCACTTTAACCAGGGGGGAAAAACCCCACAAACCAAACAGAATTATGCAGAGCCACCCCCATACAGTTTAGCAGAGGGTCACGTTTGTGACAATCATATGGGTGCTCGGGAATGACTTAAATAGAACAAAATCAATCTCCATTTCAGTTCTTGCCTAGAAAGTTTGGAATCTGGGGACTGACATTTCTTTGATGGTTTAAACTTATTGCCAGTGTAAGGCACAACGAGATAAAGATGCAACTTAAAACAGGGAGAGTGAGCTTGCCAGGGGCTAAAGTAACCTGTACTGAGCTCTGCTAGCAGGGTCCTCTTTCTCTGTCGGCAAGTTGCACCTTTACTAGAAGTTACTGCAGGCACAAACACCTACAGTCCTACTCTGAGATATCCTGGACCATATTAATATGTCACCAGCAGACTGTGGTGTGAGATCAAGCTCCTGGATACTTCCTGGCACTTCTAAATTCCTGCAATTCTGAGCTTCCATCCATCCATGCAGATGTGTGTGCCTTTGCAAATCTCTCTCTGTAGTCTTAATTTTGTTAGTTAGTTTTGTTAACTAAAACGGTGGCATTTTCTATCCACATCCAGATCCATCTTAATAATTTCCCAGACAATGAAGGTGCTATCGCTTTTCACCAGTTACTATGATTAAAACCATTCATAGCAGCATTTTAGAGCATCGTATCTTCCATCTGCCAGGAAGGCTGCGAAGGGCAGACAAAACTTGTACCTATTTGTGTCAGGATAGAGGAATTCAAACAGATTTAGTGATTTTGATTTAGCTAGCTAAGAAATTTTGGTAGTGGACTTTCTTATTTGAGAGTAAAAGTAATTACCATGAGTAGCACCTACTTCTCAGAAATAAGGAACTCTGTACAGATGTGTGTAAATATCTTATTTTCAAGAGGGCCATCACATGCAGAGGAATTACACTCAGAATAACCTACCTAGCCCAAACTTAACATTTAATTGACATGGGTCTGCCACTGAGAGTTTTATACCAAGGAAATATTTCTGCTGATACTTTTAAGTCACGCAGGGCCAGGGTACCTGTGTGGCACTGCAACCGCACTGCTGTACGTGCGGTCCCCAGGCGTATGTGCGTGACTGTGGTACACAGCCCTACCCACAGTACTGGCTGCTGAGAAAGTTCTGTTACTTTATTGTTACATTTTTCAATCTGGCGTAGAAATAACTGGCACAGACGTCTGAAATTATGGAGGTTCTTTAGTAAACTCTTCAGGGCTTCCAGCTAAATTGTCGCATATACATGGCCTTATGTAGATGTGCTTGGAAAGGGCTGAGTTGATCACATTTGTGTACGGGCAAGACTTAAGTTGTAGTGTGGTGCAGGGCAAACTCCTTTGAATCCCATCAGCTATCCTCATTGTTACTTGTGGAGGAAATAGGCACAGGCACTTTTAACCTGAAATGATCCTTTTCTATTGAAATCAGTCATGATGGTTAGATTGCCTGAAATTCCTCCTCTGACAAGGTTAATCCTGTCCTAATCACGGCATCCACATGTAACCTCTTTGCCCTGTATCCCTGAAACCAATACATGTGAAAGCCAGTCATTAAAAATTATATCCATCTTGCAGTTCTATAGGGATAGAGAAGAATTAGTCATACTCAAATCTGCTTTCTTCTATTTTTTTTTTCTCATTTATATTCCAGCTAAAATGGGAGCCTTTTGTTAAAATAGTATAATGAAAACTATATCAGTGCATTGAAAACATTCACTTATACAGAGCACATACAAAATTTAGCGTTGAAATAGTAGAAATCTTTAGCCCTGCAAAGCACTTCATATCTTCTTTTAAAGAAAACAATTTTTAATTTTAAATCTTCTTTGAACGTCCTACATCTGGAATTTTTCTTCTTCATTCGGAAAAAGAAAACTATTAGATGTGCTTAAAGGATGGTTAGCTTTGGCAAACGCGGCTCAGAAGAGGAAGTGGAAGGAAGTGAATTGGGCAGCATTCTGCATTGCTGTGTTCTTAGCAGGGTCACATAAGCCATGCCTGGAGCATATGAAATCTGTTGTATTTGCTGATTTTGGTTATTTAAACTGTTGGCAGAATAATGCTTACAGAGTGGCAGTATAAATAAAAGATAAGAGTAAAGAAAACAGAAGATAGGTGGAATTTGGTGAGGCCAGGCAGGGCTTAGATACATGTGTTCATGTGGGAGAGATTCTCTATGCATCTTCTTTGTTCGTCCTTTCTCAACAAAGGGGACTTCTAAGCATTGATCCATCTGCGTTTACTGCAACAGCAAAACAGCAGCTATGCTGAAAGCTTGCAAGGAGTTAAGCAAGGGTCTCTTAAAGCCATACAGATGTTTCTGGAATAATAGCTCTGTATACAAAACTATATTGAGTGGTAATTGTCCAGCCTCCAAATACATACAAATGCTGAATAAATCTAGATAATTTATGTAAACGAAGTATTTATTTGTAAGATTAAAAGTTCTGTAAAGAGTGCGTACCTAATCAAACATAATCTGGGCCTTAAAAAGTCTCCACCATGGATAGTGTTGAATCTGATTTATGATCTGAGTAGCCCACAACTCAGTAGGACATTTCCACCACAGTACCTGTCTCGATTAAAACCAGCAAGCTTCTGCACTAAAGATAAAACTATTCTTTTACTGCAATCATCAAAATGCCTCAAAAAAACCCCACTTAAATTGCTCAGTCCATATCAAAATGCACCTATGAACTACAACTTATTTAATGAAAAGTTGAGCATACAAGTTGCCTGAGTGTTTTTGTTACTTCAGTGTATTTCACAAAAGGGTGATTTGATACAGCAGAGATGCTGGGTTTACAGGAGCTGCAACATCAAAAGGGAACTTTTCAGAGGTTTGGCATTTTTGAGGTACTTGCAAATAATCTCTTCAATAATTACCTACTAACAGCCTTCATCTATTAATTTTTTAGGCTAACAGATTAGGGTCTCTGAGTGTTCATTGACATGAGGGGAGCACACATGAGACCATTCAAAGACATGGTTAAATCAATGGGTCCATTCAGATATTGAAAGTGAAGGGGGTCTTAAAGTCTCTAGGACACCATATGCTTGCTAGTTTTGCAATATTGAGACATGAAGTAGGATAAAGAAGAACAAAACTGAGGAGAAATTTACAGTAAAAATTTTCTAAAACATTTACACACTCATAAAGGCAACAAGAAGAACTCCTTCATTGTACCATTGCTGAATAGAATGGCACGTGCTTTCCCCACACCAAAAGTTCAGATATAGCATTCATTTTTGATCACACATATAAAACGTGGAATCACCTTATTGCTTGGTGCTTTCTTGCTACAGTTTATTGATACACTATGGAACCCTGAAAGTAAGATAACTGAATCTTTGCAGTCATTAGCTTTACTCTGTTACCCCCTAAGTGCTGGATGTGTTCAGAACTAAATAACTTTAGGAGATACTCATTATAAATTTTACTCTATTTCTGCCATTAATGGTAGAACAAGCTACAGCCCTTGATTTTTCCATGTTCTTTCTTTTGTTATGTATCATATGTCACCTTACCAAACAAATTGACAAATGTTTGCCTGTAATAGCTTACCAGTACCTACAAAACATAAAATTAATTTATAGGCTTCTTTATTATAATTTCTTTTAGACGGGAGTCCTAGGAAAGGGCTCCAAGTTGCCATGCTGACAGCTGTTCTTGTTCACTGCCCAGGGCCATACACTCGTGGGACAATGAATACACAGAAGACAGTTAAGATCCCACATTCTGCATAAATCATCATAATCGATGAGCCTGCATGCGCAGGTAGATTATACACAGTATCTCTTTAATCTTCCTAAATTCCTGGCTCTTATTTTATCTTGTGTCAAGAAATTGCAGTCTAGTCATTATTAATCAAAAAACTTCCTATCTTTCCTCTTACTGCCCCATCTTCCACCTCAGTTTCACTGAAATTTGTCTCGTTTCAGTGTTATGAGAAGCAGTAAATACATATGCCTCAGCTGCCTTCTTTACACCATTCAATATTGTGTATATTTTCATTAATATATTTTTTTCATCTAACCTCTGAAGCCAGTAATCTGAAAAGGTTATTTTAGTCCATCTTTGAGTCTGATTTATTTCTCCTTTATTCTATTTCAAGATTAGATTCACCACAACTGACAGTTCATAGAACCTTAGAATGATTTGGGTTGGAAGAGACCTTAGGGATCATCCACTCCCACCCCCCCTGCCCCGGGCAGGGCCCCCTTCCCCCAGCCCAGGGGGCTCCCAGCCCCGTCCAACCTGGCCTTGAACCCTTCCAGGGAGGGGGCACCCACAGCTGCTCTGGGCACCCTGGGCCAGCGCCTCACCCCCCGCACAGGGAAGGATTTCTGCCTTACACCTCATCTAAATCTGCCTTCTTTCAGTTTAAGACTGTTACCCCTCTACCCTTCGCTACACCCCCTGACCCAGAGTCCCCCCCCACTTTCCCTGTCCCCCCTTTAAGCCCTGGGAGGCCGCTCGAAGGGCTCCCCGGAGCCTTCTCTTCTCCAGGCTGAACCCCCCCAACTCTCTCAGCCCGGCCCCCCAGGGGAGCTGCTCCAGCCCCCCCAGCATCTTTGTGGCCTCCTCTGGACCTGCTTGAGCAGCTCCGTGTCCTTCCTATGTTGGGGGGCCCCAGAGCTGGACCCAGCACTGCAGGGGGGTCTCACGAGAGCAGAGTAGGGGGCAGAATCCCCTCCCTCAACCACGCTGCTCTTGCTGCAGCCCAGGACGCGGGTGGCTTTCTGGGCTGTGAGCACACACTGCTGGCACACAGTCAGTTTTCCATCCACTGATACCCCCAGGTGCTTCTCCGCAGGGCTGCTCTCCAGCCACTCCTCGCCCAGCCTGTGTTTGTGCTTGGGATTACCCCGACCCATGGGCAGGACCTTGCACTTGGCCTTGTTGAACTTCATGAGGTTCACATGGGCCCCCCTCTCCAGCCTGCCCAGGCCCCTCTGGATGCCACCCCTGCCCTCCAGCATGTTGACCTCACCACATAGCTTGGTGTCCCCAGCAAACTTGATGAGGGTGTGCTCAGTCCCACTGTCTATGTCACTGACCAACAGCACTGGTCCCTGAGGAACACCACTCATCATTGATCTCCACTTGGACATTGAGTTGTTGACTGCAACTCTTTGAGTGCAACCACCCAGCCAACTCCTCATCCACCGAGTGGTCCACACATCAAACCCATGTCTCTCCAATCCAGAGACAAGGATGTCATGCAGGACACTGTCAGATGCTTTGCACAAGTCCAAGTAGATGACATCAATTGCTCTTCCCTTATCCACCAGAGCTGTTACCCCATTGTAGAAAGCCACCAAATTTGTCAGGCCAGATTTACCCTCAGGGAAGCCGTGTTGGCTGTCACCAATCACCTCCTTATTCTCTGTGTGCCCTGGCATAGTTTCCAGGAGGATCCTCTCCATGATCTTGCCAGGCATAGAGGTGAGACTGACTGGCCTGTAGTTCCAAATCATCAAGGAGCCAGATCTATCAGCAGATAATAACCCATGAACTTTATAATCTATCTACATATGGGAGAAAACTCAATGTTCATTAGTTAAGACACCCCAAATACATGACATTTCATTAGTTACCTAGGCTGGAAATATGTCCTCTGTATATGCTGAAGAGGACTTATCATTGTACTTACTTATCGTGTAAGGCCAAACACATTTTTTTCAGGCTATAGTCAACATTCCCAGCCTGTCTCATCATTCTGAAATCCTGCTACTCAAAAGAAAAAGGATTATGAAGAGGATCATGAAGGCAATTTCCCAGCATCTCATTTAGAAATTTTTAAGGTTAGCCGTATTTTTTCACACTGACTTCTCCAATGCAATTCTTGTATTTGTATTTCTTGAGTATTAGTTTCTTTAGGTTGGGAGGGGCCTCTGGAGGCCATCTGATCCAACACTCTGCTCAAAGCAGGGCCACTGTAGACCAGTTTGCTCAGACTGTGTCTAGTCAAGTTTTGAACATCACAGAGGATGGAGATTTCACAGCCCCTCTGAGCAACCCGTTGCAGGGTTTGACTGACCTGCTTAAAAATTTCTTCATAAATAATAATTTCAGTTGTTGCAGCTTGTGTCCCTTGTCTCTTGTCTTTTCACTGTGCACCTGAGGGGAGCCTGGGTTTGTCTTCTGTGTACCCTCACATCGGGTAGCTGAAGGCAGTGAGTGTGACACCAAGTGGCTGAGCACAAGTGGCCAGGGCAGTATCACACAGACTTGATGAGAAGCTTCTAAAAGATTTGCAGGCAGCTGAAAGCAACTGAGGAGACTGAAACATGCACATAGTTGGGAACTGCTGCCCAGTTGGGAAGCCCCAGTCTAGATGTGCAGAAGGAAATTCTTCATCTTACAAACATCACTGACGTGCCACCTATTCAGCATAGCCAGGGAAGCAGAAAACCATGAAGTTATGCACTGAAATCCCCTCAAAGAGAATGAACAGAGCAGGTCTTTCAGAACCAACCCTTAATATTTTATTGACTAGCAAGTGACTGGAAAAATAAGTCAGAGAGTTTCTGCTAGTTGTAAATGAGTGATATTTCTCTTCATCTGCCTGTCTGGACCCTAATAACTTGGTTTTTTTCAGTAGGTGGTTCTCACTCTTAAACTTATGAAGTGACAGTGAGCTTCTCACCTTCTGTGTGGCATAAGTTCCTTCATTTGCATTCCTGTTCCAGTAAAACCTCTTAGCTTACTTTTGCCCGCTCTGTAAAGGCACTGCTCATGGAAACTAGGAAAGGTAGTAAGTAGTTTTTAAATAATAAAGAATTATTTTTAATTTTGTTTTATAGCACCATCCTTGGTATTTATTTATGGAGAAACAATAACTAGAATGAAATTAATTTCATTTTCTTGATCACTTACAAGCCAAGCAAGATAGCATTGGGATGTTAAAGCTATAGAAACATAATTTATGCATTATACAATAAGCTGGCTTCTTGTGCTTCACTTCAGAATTGAATAACCTCACAGTTAATAGGATTACATATTATTCCAAGAACAAGAACAGGCCAGTCTTACAGAAGTGAGTGAGCCAGGAAAAGGTATGCATCAATGCCCCTCCTTTTCTGTTCTTTTGTGCTCTGTCATCATGTTGTTCTGCACAAATGCAGTACTGACAAACGTGGCCCCTCACCCACAGTCATTTTCTTTGGTGGCAGTATTACTGGGAAGCAAACTCATCTGTGACATGCAAAAATAGTCAATCAAAACATGCCTCTCAGTGATCAATGTTTCCAGCCAGTCTGAGCTGTGTCTTCTGTTTAGACTGATGCTTGATTTTGGACAGAGAAGTTTTAACCTCTGTTTTTGACCCTGTTGCACATAGTTTGGAGTAATACCACTACCCTGCATCTGTGCTTGTTCTGGTGCACATTCCAGGGAACTTCTCTGTACAGAACTGCATAGAGAACATGCTACAGCTAGATATGCTGTCACTTAGAAGAAAAGCCTATTGTAGTTTCCTCATATGGCTCAAGTCTTGTGCAGTTTTCCCTGGAAGTTGATCCCATGAGCAGTAAATCTGTTACTTTTAGATTTTCAGCTTATACCATTTGGGTTGGGGAAGGAAAAAAACACAACTGTTTAATGTAAGGACCACTGGCAACCATCTTTCAGTGGTAGATGTTGCTACAGGTACAATACAGCAAGGTAAATTACCAATATATATGTTCTAGGTGCTGGAGGAGTTTGGGGATTCCTCTGATTCCATCTTGGGAGGTAAGCCTGTACCTGACTACAATTTTGGGTGGGAAAGGTAGTTCAGAATAGCCAGGGGTATTCTTTTTCCTTTACATGCACCACAATTTTTTTTAAAAAAAAAAAAAAAAAAAAAAAAAAGAAAGTGTATGTAACCACATTAAATGTATTATAAACTTTTATTTTTTATAAGTCTTTTACAGGTAGCTCATGGGCTTTGGGGATGGGAGAAAGGAACACTTGTATTCCTTCCATGACCAGGAATTTAACTTTTTGTTTATAGTGACCCTTTTGTGGCAAAAATGCTGCCAGAGACTAAGTCTGTTCCTACAGAGCAATACTGAATATTGAATATGTCCTCCTTCATTAGTGTCCTGTGTTACTCTCGGTCTTGAGGAGTTATTACGGGAATCTTTGTTTTAGTCTAGTCAATCTAGCTTTCTCTGACTTTGGGTCAGATTATAAGGTTACAATTTTGTCTGCCTTCATCAGATTTATCATGGGGCACAGCTAATTACCACCTTTCATAGCCAAGATCCAGGGTGACAACACTCTGCCCACTTCTCTGATAATTAGGATTATCTTGCTTCTTTGCCAAAAGTGGGCAGACATCACTACCAGACCTATTTCGGTCTCTTTAGCCTTCTCCCCATTTAGTTGTGTGATTGAATCATAACCCATTACATCACTTATGTTTAACAAAGCAGCTGGCTCCCAGATTTGTTTTCCCTGATACCCTCAGGCTCCTATTGTGCCTACAGCAAAGTCGTAGGACAGAAATTCTCAGGAAACCTCCCTTTGCACCAGAGTCTGGTGTCAGCACATTTTCTACACTTTCAGTTCTCTCTCTGCTTCTTTCTGCTTTCCTAACCTGACTAGCATTTTTGGTCCTGCCCACCACTACCGTGGTCCCTGCATGGCCACCCTTTAACTTGCTTGTGCTAGATGAAGTTGAGAAAACCTTCTTTGGTTTCTTCCATTTTTTTGTTCCTCACTAACAGGGCGGAGGATGCACACCAGAGAAAAGATTCCCTATCACTTCCTAGTTGCCCTGGGAACATTTGTCTAAACTTGCATCATAAAACACTGTTCTTCAGAGACATCTCTCCCTGACTCCTCAAACATACTCAAGTGTCCACCATGAGCACTTCCCTGGATGGTGTGTGAAAGCAGCAGCCACCATTTCCAGACATTCTGCTATAAACTGACTGCCTGGTTATTCCTCATACTAGCCATCAAACTGTATTTATTTCAAACAGAAATGCATCTGCAGAGGTATTTTATTGTTTTCTTAATATTCTTCATTCCAGGAACATACACAGGAAGGTACAGTCCCAGGAGTGACATGAGTAGGTATGAATCTGCCACAGCAATCATAACTTATTTGGCTCTATTTCTTAAAATTTACTGCAGCTATTTATGATTCAATTCTGTGCCAGAGTGAGGGAGTCAGTGTTATTTCCAGACAAGTAACTGACCCTTTGACCATGTTAAGAACGAGTCACATTTGTTATCACTACACAAAGGTACAGTTTTTGCTTTTGTATGCTCTGCGCTAAACAGATAAACACAGAGAATAGGCATGCCTTACGTTGGTACTGCCATCGCACACTTTCCAAGCACCCATCCACAGCATCCCTGTGCTGTAGGGATTCATTGGGCCACCAGGTGCCTTAGGGTTCCCAATACATCACAGGTCCTTCCTTGCAGGTTTTCTATTCACCCGTTGGGGTGATGCTGTTTCATTTCCTTCTGGAATGCAAATTGCTGTCCATGCTGAACACCTTTTTTCATTGCTACTGATTTTTCTGCCATCAAAAAATATGGTAGGCTCAAATACAATAACAACAAGCCACAACCAGTAATTAGCAACACAAAGCTTAATCAATTTATGTTGTTCTTTTGCCCTTCCCATTGTCTTAATCCAGCCAGTCTTTGTTCCTGCTTCCTTGCCAGGAAGTGTGACGTGTCTTTTGGCTTTTCTGTATGGTGCAATGCAGATCTATAACACTGTACAGAAACATTTTACAGAGTGAATATGTGTAACCATAAAGAATGGCTGTCTCCAAAGTTAATGGAGTAGTAGAAATGAGATGTAAATAGTTACTGAAGTGAATAGGCAGAATTGAAGGATTTTTTCCAAAGTGCAGATTCAGACAGTCTGTACCCATACAGAACATCAGAAGAACAGGCTCTACATGCCTTGTGTAACTGGAAATGGATTTCTGAAGTCATTGTTTATATAGCTTTATATGACAAATGAGATTTGCATATTAATTTAAAGTTAAAAAATTTTCTGACTCTTTAAGACAAATATTTCCACATTCAGTAATTAGAAAAACAGGAAAAAATGAGGGCAGGCTTGGAGTTGTGACAGGCATCCACACCATGCATACAGTTTATCTAAAATACCATAGTTTGTAATTTCTAGTAATGATTCATCCTGCAAAATGGAGGAAACCATTTTGCTCTTTTAATAACAGTTGTATCTATTTGTATGAAATTGAGTTAATTGCTTTAATAGGGGATGGAGAAGAAAGCAACCTAAGACAAATATTACCAGAGAAAGACAGTAATGTTTTCTTTCCTTTTTGAATAAAGAAGAAAAGAGGGAAGGGAATTGTTTGTTTGGGTTTTCTTTTGTTTTTATTTTAGTGTTTCCTTTATATATGGAACTGATCTAATCTTGTCAGCAGTCATTTTCCATGCTAAGGTAGATGAGTTACCATGGTGCCAACCAGATGTTTAATAAAATGTAAACATTTTTGCAAGTGAAATGTTCGTTTGGGGGAAAGTCTGTTAGATAGTTACCTGTATTTGCATTAGAGGTAGATTCCTCTAAGTTTCACTAAGTTTTGATTATTTACCTTAGAAACATATCAGCAAAACCAATGTAGTTAGATACTCTGATGTGATTTTAACACCATCTGTGGCCCTTAGACTCAGTGAAGTTTTCAGAGGTGCTCATTTTGAGGCCAACAGTGCGCCCTCAGTCAGTACTGAATGCCAGTTGTGTTCACTGGGATCATAATGAGGCCAATAGAGAGCACATTTGTCAACCCTCCTCCTCTGTCTACAAACTGAAATCACTGTTTAGGAAAGGGCTCATTATAGATGATTAGTTGATGGAAAATATTGTAATGAGAGTGTGCAAAAAGTATACAGACAAAATGGTTAATGCCACATCAGGAATGGGAAAATCCCAAATTCATTTGTATGTCAAAGAAACCTCACCCACATTTATGTCACTAGAGAGTAGTTTCCTTTCTAAATCTGCTCTAAAAATGTCATTGAAATTACTATCGGTCCTGTCAGTCTGACCGTGGTGGCAGGGAAGGTTATGGAGCAGATCATCTTGAGTGCCATCACGTGGCACGTACAGGACAACCAGGTGGTCAGGCCCAGCCACTGTGGGTTTATGAAAGGCAGGTCCTGCTTGACCAACCTGATCTCCTTCTATGACGAGGTGACTTGCTTAGTGGATGAGGGAAAGGCTGTGGATTTTGTCTACTTAGACTTCAGTAAAGACTTTGAGACCATTTCCCACAGCATTCTCCTGGAGAAACTGGCTGCTCATGGCTTGGACAGGTGTACTCTTTGCTGGGTAAAAAACTGGCTGGATGGCCTGACCCCAAGAGTTGTGGTGAATGGAGTTAAATCCAGTTGGTGGCCAGTCACAAGCAGTGTTCCCCAGGACTCAGTACTGGGACCAGTTCTGTTTAATATCTTTATCAATGATCTGGACGAGGGGACTGAGTGCACCCTCAGTAAGTTCACAGATGACACCAAGTTGGGGAGGAGTGTTGATCTGCTTGAGGGTAGGAAGGCTCTACAGAGGGATCTGGACAGGCTGGATCAACGGACTGAAGTTCAACAAGGTATGAGGTTCAACAAGGCCAAGTGCCATGTCCTGCACTTGGCTCACAACAGCCCCATGCAAGGCTACAGGCTTGGGGAAGAGTGGCTGGAAAGCTCCTGGTGGAAAAGGACCTGGGGGTGTTGGTTGACAGCCGCGTCAATATGAGCCAGCAGGGTGCCCAGGTGGCCAAGAAGGCCAACGGCATCCTGGCTTGTCCTGGAAATAGTGTGGCCAGCAGGGCTAGGGAAGTGAGTGTCCCCCTGTACTCGGCCCTGGTGAGGCTGCACCTCGAATCCTGTGTTCAGGTTTGGGCCCCTCACTACAAGACACTGAGGTGCTGGAGCCTCTCCAACGAAGGGCAGTGCAGCCGGTGAAGGGTCTGGGGCACAAGTCCTATGAGGAGTGGCTGAGGGAACTGGGGTTGTTTAGTCTGGAGAAAAAGGAGGCTTGGGAAAGACCTTATTGCTCTCTACAGCTACCTGAAAGGAGGTTGTAGTGAGGTGGGTGTCGGTCTCTTTTCCTAAGTAACAAGCGGTAGGACGAGAGGAAATGTCCTCAAGTTGTGCTGGGGGGAGTTATATTGGATATTAGGAAAAATTTCTTCACCGAAAGGCTTGTCAAGCACTGGAACAGGCTGCCCATGGACGTTGTTGAGTCACCATCCCTGGAGGTATTTAAAAGACCTGTAGCTGTGGTGCTTAGGGACATGGTTTAGTGGTGGGCTTGGCAGTGTTAGGTTAAGGGTTGGACTAGATGATTGTAAAGGTCTATTCTAACCTAAACGATTCTATGATTCTATGACTTTATTGAGTACTAAATATCCACTTTTAGGAATATTCTTCCATGCTGTGTTTTATCTCAGAAAACTTTAAAAAATGCAGTAGCTTAAGAAAAGTGAATGGCCTGAGATGTTTTGCTGTGTGTGCTATTGTATTTGGACAAAACTGTGCATATTAAAGATTCCAACATCTGCTCCAAAAACCTTTCCTGGAGCAGTTCTTCCTTACACCATCTTCCACAATTCACCTGAGACCATGCACGTGACACAGTTGCAGCATTGAACTGGTAGTGACAGCTTTAATGTGCCATACCTTTGTTTTTCTGTTGATTTTGCAAATGTTAAAAAAAAAAAAAAAAAGAAAAATCTGTAGAACTTTTGGCATAAAACTGTAGCTGCTGCTCTAGCTAAATTGCTGCTAAGTGTCTAGGTGATAAAAGCCTTCTCCCACGCCTGCCACTCTGAACAACACTATTGTCAGGAAAATGTATGCATCTTTTTCCAGTAAGAATAAGGACTGTGATAACATTAGCATTTAGACAAGACACTGAGCTGATGATTGTGAAATGTATTAATGGATGTGTCACTATTTTAAAAGAGCACATCTAATGGATTGTTTATATATTCCATCTCATTGTACTTATTTATTTTATAGGATATTTTAAACATAAAATTGCACAGATCAAAGTAGAACTCTCCTGTGACCTCCTCACCTCAAGGGCCTGCGTTCAACAGAACCAATCCCAGTTCCCAGCCAGTTGCATATACCACTGAAGGAAAATGAACATACTGAACAGCCACCACTTTTTGTACTTTCTGCCTACTACACGCCTTGTCATCTTATTAGCAGCTTTGACAACTGCTGAGGATGTGACTAATAGCACTTTCAACCGCACTGACATGAACACGGGATCTGTGCCTGTGGTGATCTCCCGTATCGACCATATTATAGTCAAGGAGGGGAGTAGTGCCTTGATCGACTGCAATGTCCAAGGTAGCCCTAGTCCACATTACCGATGGTATAATTCCAATGGCCACCTTCTCCAAGAGGAGGAGAATAAAGGTAAGATCTTAGTATTCTCGTTGATGTAGCCTGTCCAGAGACACTTCTGATTTCAGCAGGTTGACTAATAACCTGAATTTAATGGCCTGACTGTGGTATTTTCCTGTGTGAAAATATATGAAAGCCTGGTGGCAGCCATAAATTTGTTGTGTGCACCTTGGAAGAAAACAATAATATTTTTTTAACGTGCTGTTTATAGCAACACATACTAAGAAGCTGAAGCACTTAGCAGAAGGTGTAGACAGGCTTCTTTTCATTGAAGACTTCAGGTTTGATCCTGTTTCCCATTCTGTCCTCTTGCTCTTCTCTAGCACCAAAAAAGGCTAAAAAGCTATTTCCCAACTCAAGGGAGGATTCTTTTGACACATGAGAATAGTTTGTTGGCATTAATCCAACACAGCTAATTCTCAGATATACCTGCGGTCTTTATGTATAGAGCCATGGAAGTGTGAGAAACAGGAGGTACCCTGAATGACCAACAGAAAAACCTATATAGGGCAGCAGTCAGAAGGACAAGCCAAGTTTGAGCCTTCCTGGCTTTAGTTAAGACTCTTCAGTTGCATTTGCCAGAGACTAATTACGCATGAGCTTGTTTTCCTTAAATGGAAGGTTTGGGTGATAATCCTAGTTATCCTTCTAGAGAACCTTTGGGGGGGGACGGAAGGTGTTTTGCTCACGTAATCCTTCCATACTGACTGCTTTGTTCACAGCATGATGAAATAAACTCTTAGTTATTCATACTAAGTGCAAGATAGCTTGCCTAACTAACAGGTGACCTGAGGGAGAACTCTGCTATGATGGGAGTAATGATTGACCCAGCTGGATGTGCAACAGCATAGTGTTTCTGTAAAAGCTTACTGCATAACTGGTTATATTTTACATTACAGTATTTTATCATTTGCCAAGTAAAGCTAGAGAAAGGAACTCCTTGAGCTAGTAAGCAGACTTTCAGATACAATTTGTGAAGTTGTGGCAACATACTGTGATTAGTGTGCTAGCATGTTTTACTAAGGCTCACTAACAGAAGTTTTCCCCTTTAGTTAGGCGTCTAACTTGAGGTCTTTGTAGAGTCAACTGAGAGAGGTAGCTACTAACACAAATATTTAGGCAGGTGAGCAAACACTTTGAAAAAATCAGTAAAAATTGCAGATGTAGTATTAGGACAACATCACTGTAACTTAGACTTTCAGCAGGGCACTTTCTTTAAGAAACTGACTGTCTTCTTGTAAGAAATGTTTACTAGCACGAGACTTTTCTTTACTATGTATATAGTTACGTTGAGTGTGGCATTGAATCGTTATCAAAACCCAGCAATGACACCTTTTCTAATCATTGTTTTCTCATTAGGCTTACACTATCTGCCAGGATCCACTGGCACAGACCCAATCATTGAGTCACAGTTCAATGCCATTATGTCATTTACAACAACTGAAGCCAGGGTACATCAGCAAGGCGTCTCGTCATTTTACAATTAATAAAGACCTACTTTGCCAACATTGCAATTCAAAGAAATACTGAGCAGCTAATACTCTGTATTTTTTCTTATTCTAGAGGTGGAGAAAGAAGTGTCATCTGTTACAGATGCTGACATTTCCTCTATGAGAGAGTTTTTCTCTGAATTTGCCTAACTTTAGCAGATTGGGGTGATTTTTTTATGAGAAGGTCTGGTTTAGGCTGAGCTTTTTATTTATTCTATAGTTTTTAATTTCAGGCAAAGTGGCTCAGCTGTTCTCAAGAATTAAGCTAGGTCAAAAAATAGTGTTTCAGGTAAGTTAAAAATTCTAAGTAAGAAAAAAAGATGTAATTAAGAACTGTCTGAACAGAGGCAAGGATCTTGTGGGAATACTTTCTACATAGGCTTCTACTGGAGATAATGTAAAAAACAATTTGGATGAACGATGTTTAATTAGAAAAACTTTCAAAATGGTAAAAGCCCATAACTACTCTGAATTACAGGCTTTTTTTGACTAATGAGTTTCAGAATTGCCCACAGATTCTTCCTTGAAAGAAATAAAGTAAAAAATAGAATAATCTTTTTAACAATGAAAGAACTTCCATGGAAAGGATAAAATACGTGTAGAAGCAGGATATATAGCAACCTTGGACTTCAATCAACTAGGACTGCAATCCTTGCCTTGTGATTTACATGCATTGCACAGGGGTTTTGTGCTGTTTTAGTCCTATAATCACAGATTCTGTATCTTTGCTCAGCCGCCTTAATATAAACTTAAATCGCAACTCGTTAGGTTAGGCTTAAGGAGAAGACAACTTTCTGAGAGTAGAAGTAGGTGAACACCTAAAATTCCTTCCTGTGGAAAGTTACTGAAATTCCATTACTGCCTTCAGCAAGATACCTGTCAGGAATGGCTTGGGATTGTGTTACAGAGATTAAAAACAGTCCAGTCTGCCTCTGAGCAGCAGTATGTATTAGGTGATCTTGTTGGCTTATATCAGTTTATGTTACTGTTTTAAAATGAAATCTCCTGTATGACATCTCCCCGTATGAAGTGTTCAGAAGGCACAGAGGCACTCTTACACTTTCTGGCTGTTCTCTTTCCACCGTGTGAACACTTTGAGGGGTAGGTTTACATGAAGGAAAGAATCGATACCAGGCTTTACTCTTGGAGTTGAATCATATTTTTTATAATGAAGTTGCAATTTAATAACAAGTATCACACCAAATAAAGCAAAAAATATACATCCTCAGCTCTCAAATGTTAGTGATATTTGAATAAAAATGAAGCTTACTTGGCATATTAAAAATCTATTTTGTCACCAATATATAGTGGCAAGCTCAGTAACTAGCTGAATCTTGAATCACTTTAGCAGTGGTAGGGGCGCTGGATTTTAACATGTTATTTCAAACTCAGTTTAACAGCTAAATTGTTCTTCTGTGCCAGGTTCAAAGGATATGAAATGTACGTGTACAATTACTTGTAGTGACCAAAGATACCAATTATATTACACTGATAGAAATTACTTTTAAAAGTAAACAAAGTTCCATCGTGGTGCATAGAAGTTCGTGCTGGCAAACAAGATGTTCTCTTAATTGGTCATGGCTCTTCTCTTTCCCATCCATCTTAATCCTCCTGTCCTATTTCTCTTTTTTAAAAATCATACTTCAAAATTAAATTCCGAACAGCTCAGAGGGCAGGCATTGTAGTATATGATGTCTGAAATTTTAGGATTTTTAAAGCTTCCATGAATAGAATTATATGAGATACTGTAACAAAACACTAAAAATAACTCAACTGTAAGAAAATGCATTGTCAGGGAACAAAACAAGGAGGTCTTTCTGCCTCACAATCCTATTGTTACTGTTCTTTGAGGAAGTGTGGCATGTGTTTGCAAGGCTTTCTGGGATAAGTAGTCCTATCTTTATAACTTAACTGACCATAAAGATTGTGAAAGATGTCATGCATGTTAACATTTTTTCATGAGACTCTTGTAGGGCATGATTCAGTTATTCACAGCTGATGTCAGGGATTTGATAGTAACACAGCTAGGATCTCAGGGACAGACCGGCCTTTGTGATGGTAAATTCTTTGTCTTCTTGTGAACATTCTTTCCTTCTTCCAAAATCTGAAGCCAGTTTGACGAAGATGATGTTTAAGACATGTTGAAGACAGGCTGATCATGTGAGCAAAATACTTTTAAGTAAGTTACTCTCTCTTCTCTCCAGCAGGAAAGTGGTGGTTTCTTGACAATGGGCTACTAAACATTACCAGCGTGTCTTTTGAAGACAGAGGTAAATACACGTGTGTTGCATCTAATACATATGGCAGTGTTAACAATACCGTGACGCTGAGGGTTGTTTTTACCTCCGGAGATATGGGAATCTATTACATGATTGTCTGCCTTGTAGCTTTTACCATTGTTATGATACTGAACATTACTCGGTTATGTATGATGAGCAGTCATCTGAAGAAAACAGAGAAAGCAATCAATGAATTCTTCAGAACAGAAGGGGCAGAGAAACTCCAGAAAGCCTTTGAGATTGCGAAGCGTATCCCAATTATCACTTCAGCCAAAACGCTCGAGCTTGCCAAAGTAACCCAGTTCAAGACCATGGAATTTGCACGCTATATTGAAGAGCTTGCTCGGAGCGTACCTTTGCCACCTCTCATCATGAACTGCAGGACTATTATGGAAGAAATTATGGAGGTTGTTGGTCTGGAGGAGCAAGGACAGAATTTTGTACGGCAGACGGCAGAAGGCCAGGAAACCACTGAAACAGATGAGCTGTATATGATCCCGAACGCTTTGAAGCGCAGTGACTCTCCCACAGCTGACTCTGACGCATCGTCACTGCACGAGCCACCTCAACAGATTGCAATAAAAGTGTCAGTTCACCCATTGTCCAAAAAGGACTGCATGGACGGTCAGTCACAGGAAAGCATGCAGTTGGACACCAAGGAAGAAGACACTCCTCAAACACCAGCACTTCCTGCAGAGCCCCCTCCTGAGCCTTCTGCTGAACTCAGTTCTGATGACACAACATTGGCAAATGACAAAAATACATGCGTTATATATGAAAGCCATGTATGACAGTTACTCCTGAATCTATGCATAGCAGGAAAATCAGGTGGAGCTCTTTTAAAAATACATATTGTACTTGCCGCTAAGCCTTACCTGGAGACTATCATAGCAAAAGCATGTATGTGGATTATTTGGCACTTTCTTCTCAGTTTGACTTTAGTTTACCATGATGTATGGCAGATTAATTGCTATTACATTAATATTAATTGCTCTTTTCAATTAGGAGTATTTCCAAGAAACATTTACCTCAGCATTTTCTAGGCTGGAGTCACCTGTCGTGGCCTCCTGGAAGTCATTGGTAGTCTGATGTAGGACACTTGAACTTACTAAACATAAAACTGGTTTTCATTTTCCTCCTTCATTCTCCTTATTTCTATCTGTTGCATTTTTGCAAATATTATCTTGTGAATTTGAAATACTGCCCAAGAGGCAGCACTCCAGTAGCCAAATAAAATCCTAATAGATCCCACTTACAAAGCCTGTTTGCTCAGCTGCATTGTGATTTAGAGGGCTATTAAAGAAAGTTAAAATGTTTCCATTTCATTTGAGACCACACTGCTTAAGCACATGAGAAATAGTTTTCCCTTTTCCATGGAATGAAGATGCCAACAATTGTTTTTTTCACATCGAGAAACAACTTTGAGGTGTATTTCACAGATGGGAAAGCCTGTAAACATCTTACAGAAAGTTGCAGTCCAGCAGCTCTGCAGGGGTTTTTTGCATATATTTGACCATTTTTTAATTTGTCAGAAGTTTGTATGGAAAACAGCTGCAAATATGCAAGATGTCTTGTTTTGTAGTAATTTAGTAGGAGTAAGTATGCACTACCTTACCAGAAGATATGCAGGCTCCTTAACCGTCCTGCAAATGCCAGTAATCAGCAATGACAAGGCTGAAATGACAGAAGACCCATTTACTGGGATTCTCAGTTTTGTGCAGATTCATATGCTGAAGATCAATTAATCTATAAGCAGAAGTTTGAGAGTGTTTTATCCAAACTAAAAAAAAATATATATATAATCAAGTGTCCTGTGAAATTACAATGACGATTGCACAAACTGTTTACTGTGTTAGAATTGCTTTGTTATTTAAAAGAACCTCCTACCTATGTAGGATGTTCAGTGCTTGAGTACATGTGACTCTACCCCAGTAAAGCTTTAATGATCACGGTGATTGTGGCATTAGAAAGGATCAACATTTATGCCAGGAAATGCCAGGAGTGCAAGGGAAGTGATAATTTCTATTGCAGACAGACAGACAATAAAAAGGACCTTCTCCAGATTGAGTCTGGAAAGAAAGCACTTACAAGGAGGAGTTTGTATAGGATTAATAGCGTATTACTTAATTGCCTGACACACATTTAATTTGGAACTAGTGAACAAACTATCACCTTAGAGTTTTTAAGGACCACAGTGTAAGTATAGATACTCAAAATAAATCTGGAATTTATTGGAGAATTATTATTATTATTGCAGAAAAAGAAGTCACCTAGGTCTTACGGGGAGATGACATGTGGATGGCTCTCTGGATATTTTATTGAAGTAGCCACATCTACATAAGGTGTCCACTAGAGCCAATCAGGTATATTAACTGCACAGATAATTGAGACCAAAGTCAGCTATCTAAAAACACTCTTGATAAGGAACGGAGGTTTTATGTCAACTTCCTCATGTTAAAGTGCAGAGCTTCACTAGCAGTGTAATACAGAACACCCTATTGACTTACAGAGGTGATGCACAGAGAAGGCTCTGTATTTACCTTTATATACTTATTAAAAAAAAAAAAAGAAACAAACATGTTTAATAACGGACTTCAATTTTGGAGCCGACTTGGTTTAGTTGCCTAGCGTGTGTTTGTGCTCACCACAGTGGCAGGCATCTATACAAAATGCATATGCACATGCCCGAAAGGAAACATGCAAGGGCAGTCAATCCCTTTAGGAATGTAGGAATGTGGCTGGAAATATTTTAGTTCCAGCGAAGCAATATAAACCTAGAACACAGGGTAGATTAAGAGAATACCATAAAGAACCTCACTTCTGACCAGTGTGATTGAAAATACTACTGATGCAACCTGTTACCTTCTTGTCTGAGTCCAAAGTACATTTCTATTTAGCGTTCACATCAGTTTTTCAAGTTACTTAATTTGCTTACGGTATGAAAAAGGACGAGGGCAGAAACAAAAGCTGGAACTTGCACTCTATTCTTGTAATTCATCTTAGCCTCCTGAAAAGAGGCATCTTGATTTTTCTGCCTGTCCAGCATTTAGAGACAATGCTCATGCATTCTAAAGTTAGCTGCCTGATGCCCAACTAAGATTGCACAGATGAGCAAGGATGTTCTCCTTGAAAGCATAAAAATAACTTTTAAATTACACTTTAAAATTAAAAAGTTTCAAAATTATTTATCAAACAATAGTATTTTAATTATTTTTTAATGATAAACTTTTTACAGTAGAGACCAGATCCCTTCATATATTCAGATGGTGATTGGTACCAGGCAGTTCTGATCCTGACCGCTTCCCTCAGGCTGTCCTCCTGCCTGTTTATTATTTATTGAGAAACAGCTGAGAGCAAACAATCCCCATGGTTTTCTTCAGTATCTCTGTGTAAACTTCCTTGAAGATACAGATTATGGGTTTTTTTTCCGAAGATTGCCCACAAAGAGCATGTATTTGAAGTACACACAAACATCCATTGCAAACCATGTGTGAGCAACATTTGGATTAGATGCATGCAGTAGGCATAGTGCCGAATTTCCACTGTTGCAAGGACAAAGGGAACCTTGACTTTGCTGGAGCTGGACTCACTCAGCTGAGAGTTCACAGGTAGGACTGGTCCAGCCAGTCTACTATAAATTCTTTGGATATTTAGCTTTGTGGTATCATCAGAATAAAAGCAGATCAGCACTGTATCTGAAGAAAATACAGGTTGTAATAGTTCTGGTTTATGTATTTTTTTTCTGTTTTCAGGTATGCTGCTCAGCATCTTTATGCATCTATTATATAACACCTGTAAGCCAAAAGCTTTCTAAATGCTTTCAGGCATTTCCTTCCTGGGAGATAGTTGGGAAGCAAGACCCAAATCCATCTTTCCTGTTCCAAACTTTCTGGCTGTGGTATTATAAAGTAAACAGTTCTGTCTTGCAGTATTTCATAGGGAACGGCTATTTTATGATGCAAGAACACAATTAACAAATATAAAGTTAATGATGGCTCTAAACAAACATTAGCATTTGCATTGTTATGTATTTTCATGCACCTTAAGCACTTCAGGGACATTAGAGTGATCTGTTACTATCCTTAGACTATGCACACCTTTTGTTACATTGTTCTATTTATTATATCACCAAACACTAATTATATCACTAAAACACTCAGAATCTGGAAAATCCAGTCCAACTGAATTCGTGTTCTAAAAGTGTAAGGAAGACCAAACCAGGCTTAGAAAGGAAAAGAGATTTGCAGCATATATTTACACCATTTTAAAATATTTTTTTCCAAAAATTCATGAAATGTGACTAGATTTCTGCAGGAAATCAGTGTTGGATGCGAATTGTTCACTTACTATTCTTTTTTCACTAAATGTAAGATCATATTAATCAGACCACTTAAACATAGTACTCACTATCTACTTACTCAGCGTTTTCTTTTCGAGCAGAATTTGTTTGCTGTTGTTCCTTTTTTGTTCTCTGATTTGAGTATGCTTGTGATGAAACCTACCCTTCAGTCATTTTTTGAGATTGTCATTTAAAAAATTTAACAGAATCCATAGATCAGCATTTTTATGCAGGTTTATTGGTATTAGGTAAGGCACAGCAGTTTGCTCCTGTGCTTAAAAATTACTGTATCATCATAAGACTTGCTGAATGGCATATATGGGCAGATGTTGATTTTTTTAAAATCAGTGCCTGTTTTATTCTAATGTACATACTATGTCAGTTCCTCAATTTGCAGTTATCTTTTTACAAAAGTACTGTAATGTATAACCAGGGCTTTCTGACGTTCAGTTTAGTTCAGATCAACTAATTCTGGAAAGTGTTAACAGTGTCGAATTTTAAAAGTTCTCATGGAATATCTTGGCAGCATGCTATTTTGAGAGTTGGCCTCTTAAGTATGCCATATTTAGTGGAACAACTGAAAGCTTCTTAGATGCAAAGGAAATGCTTGCACTGAAGTATCTTAAGTTATATTTCATTTATTATTAAATCCTTTTTGATTTTACAAGAAATGTAAGACAAATATGAATGTGTTCTTTTGAGAAGCAGTTACTGTATTTTGATTTAAATAACTGTTATGATTTTATAGTTCAAGGCCGTAAACCACAAAGAGACCAGTTCATGCTGAAGTGGCAAATGAAATGTGATCCAGCTTGTAAATTGATCATTGTTTCAATAAAGAATTTGCACAGAGTATGCCGAGTTTGTACACACTCAACAAGAGAATAGTTTCCTAGTAAGAATATGCCATGGCTTCAGTTCATGTGGAAGTGAACTATGTATTTCATTGTACAACTGCTAATATTCCAGATACTTTGTTCAGAAGAAACAGTTATTTACCTAGAAAGGAAGTTGTAATAAAGCTCTGAGAGGGAGCTGTTGTCGTTATTCAGAATACAGACCCAATTGTTAATTGGTGTTGTTATCAATAGCGTAGATTGCTCATGTATGTAAGCATCTTCTCTTTGGAAGCACGTCAGCACTTCTGTATGTAATCCAAAGCACTTTTTTTTGTTCACTGTTTGCTCTCTGAGCCCTGCTATGGGGCCTTGCAAAAAGTCTTACAGCTGTTTCAGAGTTGGGACCAACAAAGCAAATGTCTCTTCTCCCAGAGGCACCCTGGTACCAAGACAAAATAGAAGTGTGGGTTGCCATACCCACCCCCATTCCTTCATCCACCCTAAAAGGATGAGGTGAAATGGTTTTCCTGTCTCACAGCAGTTGAACTATATCACTCCCTAACAGTCTTCAGCAGGATGTAGTTGGAGCAGACACAGCAATACCTTGTCCTGGCTCTGCTGGTGCTACACAACTTGCTTGACAGAGATGGAGTGGGAGGGACTTGCTCTTGCCAGCTGCCTGTTCTAGGCTGAAAAACATAGCCAGTAGAAGGAAAACAATAGCTATTTCATGTTTTAACTCCGCTGTTTGAAAGAGTATTCCGATTTTGAAAAATATTTTCAGAAGCATTTTTATTCAACAGTTTAAGTTGAGTTAATGGGGCTGAGACAACCACAATTTATCTACAAATATCTATGAAAAATAATGAAGGGGTCACAAACTGGTGATAAAAATGGAATACATATGGCTAGAGCCATATGCTATTTTATTGTCTCAGCATGGGGCCCTGTCTTGCAACTTGGACAGTTTGATATGCTGTGACTTTTTTTATAGAGGGAACAGCTCCACTTCGGGATGCTCTCCTCCAGCACGTTGAACTCGTCCAGCAGCTTTGTTGGAGCATTTTTCAGGAAGACAGGGTGCCACCGAGCAGTTGGTCCCAGTGAGCTGCACTCCTGAACACTATGAAACAGGCTGTCCCCAGCCCCAGTGCTTCTTCTGATGAGATGTTTATCATGTGGAGGAGACTGCCTTACATCAGTACTGCAGAGGTGCTTCAAAACTAAAAGCTGCCGTTGAGTAGTATCTCCACAAAGATGGGGACAGTGAGGGGGTCTCTGCTCTTCTACTAAGACTGGAGCCAGGGAAAGCCAGTGCACAACTGAGATCTGGCAACCCAGGTATTTGCAGTGCTACAGCATCACTTTCCCACAGCACTATGTATTTTCTAGCCCACATACTGCACTAGTGCCTGGAATAACCAGCTAAGAGACTTGAGAATCAATTCCTTTTCAGTGTCCATTTCTTCCATCTCTCCCTCTCCCCGTCTCACCTTCCTGTGCTTTTTTCTGTTCCCACCAGCTCCACAGTGCTACTTTTCAAATAAGAACTGAGTGAAGTTAGTGGTCAGGGCAAGTGTTTCTGCACTCCAGGCACCTCTGTTCCAAACTGACCTTTCATAAGTCCCAAAATTGATTTATTTTTTTTTCCCCAGATGTACCAGGCTCTAATGCTATCTATGTACTATATTTAGCTCTCTGGCTCCCAGGCCTACACTGAGTCATTATACTCTTACAGTAAAGGCTGACTTGCGAATCCATGGTATCATGTATAAGTCTGTAAACTGGTCAAAGACAGAAATATAAACTGAAGTTGTTTCCAATTTCTTATTCAAAATCAGAACGTACGGCAGCGAACAATAAATGTGGTAGACTTGGGACACTCGAGTTATGTAACAAGCAGCTATTTCATACCATAACAAGACGTGGCAAGAATGAGAAAAATAAACACCCAGCCTTGTATAGCATGGAGAATACATGTAAAGCCTTGCTTATGGTTGAGTAGACATTTAGCATCAGTATCAAATCAATCTGCCATTCTATAGCCAATTTCTATTTTGAGAACAGATTCCTGTTATAGCTACTCTAACCAGGCCTTTCCTATGTAGGCAAGCACTATAGGCACGGAAATAGTACAAGAGTTATCAGGAGGGAGCCTTATCTCCCTCATCTACCATTTTTTCAATTATTTTCAAGACTACTTAGCTATGCATCAAGGGCCAACAACCACTGACTGCCACCCTGTCCCATTGTGGAGCCGTGGAGCTTGGGAGCTCCCGTTCGAGATGGACAAGCTGGTCTTTCTGAAGTATCTCTGTCTCCTCTTGCATAGGTTTTGATTATACCACCAGATAAACCACTCATTTATAAATCGTTCAGGCCCACTCGTTCTCAATTGGTAATTACAGAGAAACAAAATAAATCCTGACGCCCTCTTTCTGAACCCTCTTACTGCTTCTTCCTCAAGATTAGCCCTGACAGGCAAACAGCTCCTGAGCTGTTTGGGTTTCCTTTAACTCCTTCCTGCTGATGAGCGTTACCTTAGTTAGAAAGCAGGATTCAAAAAAAAAATATCAGCCAGAAAAAGAAGCCCCCTTTTTAGGAGACAAGCATGGATCCTGCCTGTTTAAAATGCTTCATTATCCTTCTCTCTAATACATACAGAGAAAACAGCCTCGGGAAAAGGCAGTAAAAAATAGAAAGAAATTGAAGATTAAAATGGAAAGTTTTTCTGCTCACTCAAAACATCCAGAGGTGATTTATCATAAAAGAGTATTAAATTCTAACTCATCTAATAATTTAGTTTGGTTTTAAACTTACTCAAGTGGAGAAAAAGAAAATTCCTAAAAACAATGACATTTTCACCCCCAACCCCAGCGTAAATTACCACAAAAATATGAAACATATTGCCCAGCCCTTCTCTTGGGATACCTTTTATCAGGGAAGATATTTCTAGTCCTTTTTATGGTTCTGCTTAGGTGACTGCAGCTTCCTTAAGGGATTGGTGGAAGCGCATTTCTTTTCTGCTGTCTTCCTCTTGGTTAAATATTATCTACCCTGTGTGATCTCTTCTTTGTGTGTAAAAATCAATATTCCACTGAAGATTTATCGTCCTGCTTCCATTCCCCATTCCCCATTTTGATACCTTTTTTTGTGTGTTTTGTTTTACTGCTTGTGTTTTGGTTTGGTTTTTTTTTTTGCCCTAAAATTCCTCACATTTTAAAATAGAGGATCCTAATGTTTTTTCAGTTGCCTGTTTTGGGGCAGGGTCACTCACACCCATCTGTATAATTAAATTTTAATTATGCAGATGTACAATTAACTACTCCCGGATTGGTGCAGGATGAACTAATCGATAGGCTGAAGTCGATTTCTTTTGCAGAACAGCAGCAACAGAACAGGTAAACCCATAATTCCTGAGATATAAGTGAAATAAGTGTCCTCAGTCATACATGGGTATATGAATATGTTACGTTCTTTTGTTTGTTCACTTCAAAAAAGTCATGTATGATACATCTCTGCCTTAATGTGTTTCTTTTTGCTTAGCCTCCCATCATGGATGCAGTAGCACATTTGCACTGTCCCTAAGCTTGTATATCAGCTACCCATTATCTGGACTGGTTTATATTATTCATTGGATAGCTTGCCAAGTCCTGGAGCCTCTCTAAAATAGATATTTTTTAAGAGACTGCAGACAGCTTGTTGACACTATGTAAATTATATTAATTTCAAATGCATTGATAAATGCTTTTTCACAGTTTTTTAATTGAAATGCTGTATTTCTATATAGGCTAATATTTACATGTTAATGGAGTCTGTTTTTCTGTATTCTTTTAACTAGAAACTCCAGTTTTTCAAAAGTGCAGTAAAATGACAGTAATCTGCTGCTGAATAAAACTGCTTTTTGCAACTACAGTTTCTACATTTCCTAATCCCCGTGTAATCTCTGCTAAGCACAGAGCTCATTCTTTAATATATATGCCACAAATGAGGTGAAAGTCTCCAAATCTCTGTTATTCATGTTGTCTGCATCAGACTACTAGTTATTTTATTAGAACATATAATAGACCTACCCTGACACTAACTCCTGTTACAGTTACCAGAAATAGCCCCAGAGCTTTAGCCAAATGTTACCCGGCACAGTACCACTGAGGACTATGTTCCTACTCTACACCAATTTCAGAAAAAAACTCCAGAGAAAACCCATCCCTTCTCAGCAGGGAAGCAGGGTCTTGAAAGCCTCTGAAATAAGTAACGTTTCACATGTTTTTCAGAACAAAACCCAACACCGAGGTAATTACTGGGGTCTTGCTTGTAAAATTGTTTCAGGAGCTAAAACATCACCAAAGAGGGCGCTCACTGCAGCATGGAAACTCATTGCTCCCAGTAGGTAGCTGTCAGTCGTCAGGCAGTAGCTAAAGACATTTCTCAGGGTAACCCAGGGTACCGTAAGGAGGCAAACATTATTCATACCATGTGGAATGGTGTCCTGGGTTGAGTGAGTGGTGGAGATTTTTGGTGGCAGGGGAGGGGGCTATCAGGGCGGCCCCCTGTGAGAAGCTTCTCGAAGCTCCCCAGCTCCACGTCAGCTCCACTTCTGTTTGGGAAATTGAGCCAATCGGCTGCACCTCTGCGATAACGTATTTAAGAAGGGACGTGGTGATGGGCAGTCGGACTTGTGAGGAGGAGTTGCTGCAGCTGCGTGAACACCCAGGTCAGTGGAGGAACAGAGGAAGAAAGGAGGGGGGAGGTGTGCCGGAGCAGAGACCCCCCTGTATCCTGTGGGGAGACGACAGGGCGGCCCCCCCTGCCACCCATGGAGATCTACGGTGGAGCAGACATTGATTTATGGCCTGTGGCTCCTGCTCGTCTGATCAAGGTTCTGTGCCCAAAGAAGACCGGGGTCTCATGGGAAAAGGCAGCCCCACTGCTGTAATTCAGCGCTGGGAGGATTGCAGCATGCGTGGGTGTCCCACGCTGGAGCAGCTCAGGAAGGGCTGCAGCCGTGGGAGGG